GACGCAACTAGGCATAATCCAATTGTCATAGGAGGTGATTTTAATGCATGGGCAATAGAACAAACAAAAGAGGCAAAATACTTCTGGACGCGTTTTCTAGACTTGACGTGATTCTAGCAAACAAAGGACAGGCACACACTTTTCGGAGAGCTGGTTATGGGTCAGTAGTCGACATGTGAGCTCTAGTTTATCAAAAGAAATGGATTGGTATATTAGTGAACACTATACTCACAGTGACCATCAGGCTGTAATTTTCACAATTAATCCCAATACATCATTGCGTATAGTATCAGACAAATTTAAATTTCAAGGATGGGCGAAAGATAAGATCGATGAAGAAGCCTTTACCGAAACCTTTTCATACCAGCAAATTGAAAATGGCCCGGTATCCGATATGGCAGAAAAAGTCTAAGCAGCACTAAAGATGGCTTGTGATGCGTCCATGCCAAGAAAGAGATCAAACCATAGGAGGAAAGAAAACTACTGGTGGAATGATAATATATCAGCCCTTAGAAGCGAATGCTTGAGAAGTAGAAGAAAATACCAAAGAAGCAGAGGCAGACCAGACTTCATAGCTAAAAGGGAAATATATCACGAAGCCAGGAAAGGCCTACAAGAAGCCATTAGACGTAGTCAGAGGTCAGCCCAAATAACATGCCCTAACCTTATTAGAGAAATAGTATCAGTTCTATTCCCGGAAGGAGAACCGTACTCAGAGCCGTATTCAATCGTGCAACAAGGCGAGATAGAAGTGACAGAGGAGGAAATAATAAACCTCTGTGCAAGGATTGGCGATAACAAAGCACCAGGCCTTGACTTCATTCCGAATAGGGCTTTAAAGATCGCTCTAAAATCAAGACCAGAGATTTTTACCAGACTGTTCAGCAGAAGTCTCAGAGAGGGGAAATTCCCCGAGATCTGGAAGAAACAAAAACTAATTCTGATACCAAAACCAGGAAAAACATTAGGTGAACCACAATCATATCGGATAGGCAATATGGATTTAGAAAGGCTAGATCAACAATTGATGCAGTGAATTTCGTAACTGAAACAGCTAAGAATGCAATCAATGGAAAAGGCAAGAATAGATATTACTGTGCCATAATTACACTAGACGTTAAAAATGCTTTTAACTCTGCGGGATGGAAACACATTATTTCCTCGTTAAGATCTCTTAATGTCCCCGAATACCTTATTGCAATAATAAAGGATTACTTCTCAAACAGAACACTGTGGTTCGAAACTGACAATGGTACGGAATCGTATAATATTACATCAGGTGTCCCACAAGGATCAGTCCTAGGACGACTCCTGTGGAATATTATGTACAATGGCATATTTGACTTAAGAATCCCAGAAGAAGCGACCGTTGTAGGATTCGCAGACGACGTCGCAATTCTTGTCAGAGCACGTCACCTGGATGAAGTCCAGTTATATGCGAACGAATCAATTGCAATTATTAGAAATTGGATGAAAGATATGAATCTGAAACTTGCAGAGCATAAAACGGAGGCAGTGCTTATAAGCGGAAAGAGGAAGAGAGAGACTCTTTCATTTACTGTGGGGACAACTGAAATCAAACCGTCTGAAACTATTAAATACTTAGGTATAATGGTTGACGATCGCCTAAACTTTAAGAAACACATAGAATATACATGTGAGAAAGCAACAGCTGTATCAAATGCCTTAGCAAGAATGATGCCAAACATCGGTGGCCCAAGACAGAGTAGAAGAATTTTAATTTCAAGGGTAACGAACTCAGTTATTCTTTATGGAGCACCAATTTGGGAATGCGCAATATATGAAGCATCTAGAAAAAACATTTCTGCAATACATAGAAGAAGCTGCCTAAGAGTATGTAGTGGTTACAGGACAATTTCTGCAGAAGCAGCAAATGTAGTAGCGGGCATAATACCTGTGGACTTAGCAGCCAAAGAACTATCGGCTGTCTACGAAGAGAAACTTACAAACCCACATATCCCAAAGGTGGAAATAAGCCGGATAGAAAGGGAGAAAACTATGAGGGAATGGCAGAGGAGATGGGAAAGTACAAGTAAGGGCCGATGGACCTTTCACCTAATCCCAGACATCAATATATGGATAAATAGACCCCATTGTGAGCTGAACTACCATTTGACGCAATTCCTTACAGGACATGGTATCTATAGGAGCTATTTATACCAGTTTGGCCATGACAACTCACCAAGATGCCCGAAATGCCCAGATCTAGATGAAACAGTAGAACATGTCGTTTTTAATTGCCCACAATTCTCTGGACTACGAAGCAGGTTGGAATCGTGCATTGGCGAACAAATAAGGACAGACAATATAATAGAAGCAATTCTAAAATCAGAACATAACTGGTCATTGGTGAACATGTACATAACTTCAATAAATATAGCTCTGCGAGATGCAGAGATTATTCGCAAGGCCCAGAACGTGGCCTAGGCGACGAACTCTGAGAGTTAAGGAAGTTCAGCGTCAAAGCTGACCACCCCGCGAAGTAGTACCTGGTGGCGATTCCGCGGAGTGTGGTGTTGACGATGGAGGTGGTTTTAGTCGGTAGGAATCCGACTAGACTATAGACTAGACTATAGACAAGACTATAGACTAGACTATAGACTAGACTATAGACTAGACTATAGACTAGACTATAAACTAGACTATAGACTAGACTATAAACTAGACTATAGACTAGACTATAGACTAGACTATAGACTAGACTATAGACTAGACTATAGACTAGACTATAGACTAGACTATAGACTAGACTATAGACTAGACTATAGACTAGACTATAGACTAGACTATAGACTAGACTATAGACTAGACTATAGACTAGACTATAGACTAGACTATAGACTAGACTATAGACTAGACTATAGACTAGACTATAGACTAGACTATAGACTAGACTATAGACTAGACTATAGACTAGACTATAGACTAGACTATAGACTAGACTATAGACTAGACTATAGACTAGACTATAGACTAGACTATAGACTAGACTATAGACTAGACTATAGACTAGACTAGACTATAGACTAGACTATAGACTAGACTATAGACTAGACTATAGACTAGACTATAGACTAGACTATAGACTAGACTAGACTATAGACTAGACTATAGACTAGACTAACTATAGACTAGACTTACTAGACTAGACTACTTAGACTAGACTATAGACTAGACTATAGACTAGACTATAGACTAGACTATAGACTAGACTATAGACTAGACTATAGACTAGACTATAGACTAGACTATAGACTAGACTATAGACTAGACTATAGACTAGACTATAGACTAGACTATAGACTAGACTATAGACTAGACTATAGACTAGACTATAGACTAGACTATAGACTAGACTATAGAAGACTATAGACTAATAGACTAGACTATAGACTAGACTATAGACTAGACTATAGACTATACTAAAAAAGACTAAGACTATAGGCTAAAGATTATACTATATGCTTGACAATAAACTAGACTGTAAAATAGACTATACACTAGACTACAAACTAAACTATAGATTTTATACCGTAAACTAGACTTTAGACTAGACTTAAAACTATACTATAAACTAGGCTATAGACTAGACTTGATTTTAGACTAAAGTGTAGACTATACTACAGATCAGACTATATAGTATTAGTCCATAAACTACACTTTAGAATTAACTATAGACTAGACTAGTTTATAGTCTAAACTAAACTATAGACTACTCTATAGATTAGACTATAAACTAAGCTGGTGTATTAAATGCTTGTGGACTACTTATCAGAAGTTTATAAGTTAGAAAAAGTTCCGAAAATGTCGTGGGGGTATCGCGGAATTTTTCGATATCAAAAAGTGATAAAGCACTAAATTTCCCATGCCTGCTTCAGTTCTCAATCCGGAGCGTTAAATGCTTCGGCCCTCTGCCGATTAACATCTGGTTTCGGCTACAGTGTTTATATGAAGTAAAAATGTCAGATTCGTAGTACGGATTTGAAATTAAAAACAGCATTTGCCGCCAAGCTTAAAAACTTGAAAGAAATATTTCTTAAATTTCAAAAATTCAGTTTCATTCCATATCCAAAACTTTTCCTTAAAAAAAATCTTTAAATATTCTTCTTATCCAATAACGATAATAAAATGTTTTTCTAAACAATTCCTACATGATTTAGTAAAAGCCATTAATTTATAGTCAATCATCTAGTAATACAGTTTATCTTCGAATAATAAAAACAAAAGACTTAAGAAACAAACGCCATCATTAATACAAACAAGTTTGTTTGTCGTTTCTCAAAAAAAATTTTCCTCAATATTTTTCAACAAAAAAATCTTCCCAACTATTCACACTCCGAAATGAAAAAAGAAACAGTAAAGGGGTTTGGGAGGAAAATCTACAATGTACAACAAAACAAAAAAAAATAAATCTATGCCACATTGATCACGTCTTAAAATACAATGCAACATATTGCAGACGTTGTAATAAACGGCCAAACGAATTCAGCGACAGACAACCTATAATTTTTTAATGAAATAAATACTTCTGCTCCTAAAACTAGTATGAGTGTGACTCTATTAAAAGAGCTAACTGAATGAAAGATCAGAGAGAGAGAGAGAGGGAGAGAAGAAAATAATAAGAAGAAGAAAATGCTAAGTGAGGTATTAAAAAAATCAAAACAAACTTGTCCCTGACTTTGACCAAATTGAAGGTAAAATTTCTGTGTATATTTTGTATAAAAACTTTAAGCAACTTGTTGCTGAAACATGTGGCTGAAACACAGAGAGCGTTAAACAGAGGCTTGTTATGATTTTTAACATTTAGCATATATGTATGTAAGTATGGGTGTGTGTTTGCCTGTGTTTAATGACTGGTTTTCAAATTCTTCATTTAACCATTCTTGAGCAGCAGAGAGCAGCATACAATATTACGGTCTTGCTAAAGTTGTATGGCTTTCCGTTATACAGTAAATAAGTTGTTGGTTTGAATGTATGAATATGATGTTGTTTTGTTTATTTGTTAGTGGGTACGTTCGTTCGTTTGTTCGTTAGTTGGTTGGTTGCTAGTGGCAGGCAACAGCAAGCAGCAGCATCGTTTGAATTTCTTTTTCATAACCGAGCGCCTGCGCACAGTTGGCTTTCTACCGTTGGCGTATACGGATTTGTTCAAATTTTCAAACGCGTCGCTAATGAACACAGAAACGAAATATAAAAAAAAACAAAAGAAAATTTACAATAACAACAACAACTACTACAAATATTATGCGTATATTATATCAAAACCCACAAAGAAAAATTTATATACTCGAAAAATTCACTCAATATAACGGTTTAATTTTCAAAATTAAGAAAAACAAAATATTAAAATAAAAGTGGAACACACAAATAAATAAAATTATGAAAATTTGAAATTGTTAAAAAGTACTTAAAATAATTTCAAAAATAAAATTGAAAATTAAATAAAAAATAATAAAAAGTGTAAACAAGTGCAATTTAAATTAACAACAAAACACACAAAAATTTGTTTAAAAAAATTATAGAAAAAAGGAAATACAAAAGTTGCAATATTATTTTGAAAAAAAAGGAATACTTTTTCAATATATAATCTACATATTTCTTAAAAAAATACAAAACAAAACCAAGACCTACAAAAAAATTTTTCAAATCATTTAAACAAAAACCAAAAAAAAACTGTTGTAAATATTTTCATTCAACAAAAAAACAAACCAAATTACCAAAACATTAATTAATAAATTTTTTTCAAATTTATTAACCGTCTACACCCTCAATCCAACATAAACAAACCAAACACTTACTTGGAACCCTTTAAGAAAAACAACAACAAAAATTACAAAAAATTTAAATTTATTTCTATTAAATAAAGTTTTGTAAATAAATAAAAATCTCATCTTTTTTACCCCCTCCAAAAACAAAAACAAACAATTTGGCTTAAAATCAAAATTTATAAACAATTCCCTAAACTCCATTACTGTTTATCCCTCTTACTCATATATAAACTGTCGTTCAAAACAACAACAACAACAAAAACAATCATTTATATTTTATTAATATTTTTATGATTTTGTTTTGTTTTTTTTAATAATAATTCTAAATAATTAACTCCCCAAATATAAACTATTTTTATGTGTGTGTGTGCTATTTTTGTGAGTACCTTCCCTGGCTTTAAAAATCCAAAAAAAAAATTTAAAAAGTTTCTTAGTGCTTTTTAGCCTGCATGCTTTTGTTTTATTTATTACTAACATTTTTCATTTGGTGTAAATATTGGTTTTGTAGTCTAATTAATTTGCTGGCTTTAAATTAGCTTTATACATATTTTCTTCTTTTCTTCTATGCCTTTAGTTTAGTTTTTCATCTATTTCCTTTTGTTTTAAGCTTAAACATTTATGGAAGTGTTTTTTTTCTATTTTTTCTCATTTCATTTTAATTAATATATGAACCAAATAAAAAAAAAACTAAAAAAATGCATATTTTGAAATTTAATGCAAAAATAACTATATAAACCCCAAACCCCTCCTACCAAATAATCGAACTGTGCTAAAGGATTAAATACACTCGCAAAAAAAAAACAAACAAACAAATTTAACCAAAATCATCTTTACAACGGATTACAAACTGTGGATTACTTTGAATTATCACTATAATTACACAGCTTTAAAAATGGATTACCTATATCAATGATGTTTAACATTGTTTTAACAAATAAAGTGTAAGTATTAACAAGAAAATATAAAAAATTTAAATCAAACTACACTACAAGAAAAAGTAAGGCTAGTTCTTTAAGCATATGTTAGCTTTCTTATAAACAAGGCAAAAAGCTTCGCAGCTTTTAAGAAAATAACTATAAATGTACTTAGAATTTCCTTAAATTATCAGAATTAAATGCCAATAAAAAGCTTAAATTTAGCTTGAAAGCTTTTTAGTAGTTCTAAAATAGTTCATAAAAAGCTTTTTTAAGTTTAAGTTATCACTTAACTAAATTTTTTAAATAATATTTGTTCCCACTTTTAAACAAAACAAAATAAATTGCAAAAAGCTTAAATTAAGCTACTTATAAAAGCTTGTATGCTTAAGCTTTTTTAAGCTTAAAGCTATCTTTTCACTTAAATTTGTTTCTTAATATTACATTTAATAATATTAAGAGCTTGTAAGCTTTGCATTATAAATTAAAGCTTTCTAGTTATTGCTCTTAATAAATATCCTAAAGTTGGCTAATTATAAAGAATTGCAAACTTTGCAATATATATAAATGCTCACTTTATAGATTCTCTTAGTTTGGAATTCAAAATGAAAGCTTTTTATTTATTTTTTGTAAAAATTAAAGCTTAAATTTATCACTTAACAAAATTTCTTTAATAATATTCGTTCAAACTTTTAAGTTGTTAGTAAAAAGCTTAAATTTAGCTACTTATTAAAGCTTGTAAGTTTTAAGTTATAAGAAAGCTTTATACATAAAAAACTTTTTAAGCTTAAAGTTATCTTTTCATTTAAATTTGATTCTTAATATTGCATTTAAGCTTAATAATTTATATTCTTAATTATGTAAATGTTTAAGCTTTTAATTCTACAAAAATTCATATTTGCTAAAAAGCTTTATTCAAATATACATATATCAAATTTAGCATCAAATTATACTATTAAACATTTTCAAAGCCTTTTACTATTAGATAAGAATATTAAAAGATTTCAAATTTGAAGTCAAGTTTTTTTTAAATATAAAAATAAGTAAACGTTTTTTTCTATTTTGATAATTCTCAAAAAAGCCATTTGCTATTAAAGTTTTTGGATAAGTTTCAAAAGCTAGAAAAACAATTAAAGCTTTGTATTCCCTTTGTATGATTATGATCTTGGAAGGCTTAGACGTAAACCTTTAATTAGAATTTAGTATGATAAATACATAACAAAATTAAATGAATTCCTCAAAATATTAAAAATAATCCAAATATTATCGAATAAAATTTCAATTTCTTATTGATTTGTGATCGACTATTCTTTTTAAATCCGTGTAAGAATAATCTCTTCTCTTCAATCCACTGGCCTTAAAAACGAGCTATTCCTATGATTGTCAACAAACCCTTCAAAAGATGCCCACAAAAAATTAAATTTTTATATGAAAATTGTGAAAAAGAACCTCAGAAAAAGAGAACTTAACACAGGCTTGTCATAGAAGTAACGATTACTTACTTCTGAATAACTTTCATTCCAATTTTCTATTTAAAAATAACAATATTTATAAAATAGTTTTTTTCGAGAATATTCCACGAATTTGTTTTCTTATTGTTTTTAACAGTAGAATACTGAACACAAATAACCAAAAATTCTAAGTTTTGTAATAAAATTAGTTGGAAGGTATAAAAACTCTCCTTAATTAAATTAAATTCTAATTTATCGCGAATATTCCAAGAACTTGTTCTCTTATTGTTTATAGTAGCAGTAAACTTTTAGGGATGTTTGTAATTTTTATACGGCGATATATGATAAAACAAGGAAGTTTATATATATCAGACAAATTAATTAAGATTATTATTAAAAATTATTTATAAAGATACTGGGTCTGTTCCTCTAAATGCGAATAAACAAGTTCTTTTATAAAAGAAGAAATATTCCTTGGCATTTAGGGAAACACGTTCTCTATAAGAAATCACTTTAATCATATAAAATTAAAATTTTTCGAGAATATTCCATGAATTTATTTTCTTATGAGTTTTAACAGTAGCATACAGAACACGAATGAAAAATTCTAAGATTTATAATGAAATTAGTTGGATTGTATAAAAAATTTCATTAATAAAATGAAATTCTAATTTATCGCGAATATTCCAAGAATTTGTTTTCTTATTGTAACTGAAATAAAAAATACAAAAATTTTAAGGAAATTATTTGATGTTTGAATTTAATTTGTAAAGATTCTGGGTCTGTTCCTCTAAATACTAACGAACAAGTTCTTTCTTATTTTATAGAAAAAGGAACTATTAAATTTTAATTTTTCATAAAACTAGCATTAAGGTACCTACTCAATAAGAAATCAGTTTAATCATATAAAATCGAAATTTTTCGAGAATATTCAACGAATTTGTTTTCTTATTGTTATATAATAGTAGCAAACTTTCAGTATTTGCCTACTTTAAGGGATTTCTGTAATTTTATTTCGTTGATATTGTAAATTAAATAATTTTGCTTTTATCAGGCGAAGTGATTAAGTTTGTTGATTATATTTGATCGCGAGTTCTTAAGAACAAGAATAAATCAAAATTCTACAATTTTTGATTTAATTGAATCTAAAATGTTTAAAACAAGACTTAAATTAATAAATTTCTAATTTTTCGAGAATATTCCATGAATTTGTTTTCTTATTGTTATATGATAGTAGCATTCTTTTAGGGATTTCTGCAATTTTATTTCGTTGATTGTGTAAATTAAATAATTTTGCTGTTATCATATGATTTAAAACTTTTCGAGAATAATTTTAAAATAAAATTACTAAAAAGATAAAATCTTTATTTTATGAAATGAAATTCTGATTATGAGATTTGTTACAAAATTTTCAGTAATTTTATAAAACAAAAACCTCTCAAAAAATATACAAATTTTTCAACTACAATTTTATTCGGGAATATTCCAAAAATTTCATCACTTATAGTTTATTTTACAACAGCAAAATCTGGCATACTTTAAGGCATTTGTGAAAAGAATAAAACAATTTTAATTGTATAAAATACATTAATTGAAAATCTATCATTTGGCAAAATTCACTAAAATTTACATAATTTATAAATAGTTTCAACATTTCCAAATTTAAAAGATCTTTGTATAAGATAAATAAACATCCGAAAAACTATTTAATTTACATACCCCTACCACATGAACTCACTGAATATATTTAATTTCATTATAATTATAATCATAACATAACAGCTTTTCTAGCCTAGATAACTTAAAAATTCATATTATTAACATTATTATTGTTATGAAAAAAAAGAACTACAAACATTAAAAACTATTAAAAAAAAAACAAAAACAACTGTATTTAATTGTTTTTTTTTTTAATTTCTTAAGAAATTCTTAAATGAACAAAAAGAAGCTACAAAAAGAATAAACTTTAAATTTTAATCTCTACTTCCTTAGCCGAATATGAAAATAAATACAAAAATCTTTTTTTGGAAAAGAACCGTTAGAGCCAAGATGACGTAAATTTTACGTCAAGTCATGAAATTCAAAAATTGTTTAAAAAAGTGACTCAAATAAAAAATTGTACAAAAAAAAAAAATAAAACAAAAACTCATCATCAACACATGGCAACAGCAGCAAGAATCATAATCAGAACTAGAAGAGACAAACTATAATTGTTGTATTATCAAAAAAAAAAAAAAAAAATATATATATATATATATATATATATATATATATATAATATATATATATATATATATATATATATATAAATATATATATATATATATATATATATATATATATATATATATTTGCAACAACTATTTATTTAAATTTCATAAGAGTAATAATATAAAACAACATTTAACCGAAGACAAAATCTATTAACAATAGTTGGTCAAAAAGATGTGTAAATAGCGATTATTTATATAGCATTTTTAAAAGACAATTAAACAATACAGTGGGCTTATATAAAGAGGGATTTGTAAAAAATAAAATTTATGAAGTTAACTATACGTTTTACATTAATTGAATAAAAATTTAAATTTAATTAAAATCTAAGCGCAATATAAAGTTTTTTAAAACGAAGTGAATATAAAGATATTTAAAGGATTAAACAAATAATAAGCTTTTTAAAATTAAAATAATATTAATTAAGAGTAAAGCTTTCAAAAAAGCTTTTTAAAATCATTTTAATATTAAGCATATTAAAGCTCCTCTTAAAACATATTGAAAACTGGGATATTTAAGCTTTAAAAAAAGCTTTTTAAAATCATTTTAATATTAAACACATTAAGCTCCTTTTAAAACATAATGAAAACTGGGATATTTCAGCTTTAAAAAAGGCTTTTTAAAATAATTTTAATATTAAGCACATTTAAGCTCTTTTTAAAACATATTTAAAACTGGAATATTTAAGCTCGTAAAAAAGCTTTTTAAAATAATTTTAATATTAAGCATATTAAAGCTCCTTTTAAAACATATTGAAAACTTGGATATTTAAGCCTTAAAAGAAGCTTTATAAAATCATTTCAATATTAAGCACATTAAGCTCCATTTAAAACATATTGAAAACTGGGATAGTGAAGCTCTTAAAACAGCTTTTTAAAATTATTTTAATATTAAGCACATTAAAGCTCCTTTTAAAACATATTGAAAACTGGGATATTTAAGCTTTAAAAAAAGCTTTTTAAATTTTTTCAATATTAAGCACATTAAAGCTCATTTTAAACATTTTAAAAACTGGAATATTTAAGCTTTTAAAAAAGCTTTTTAAAATCATTTTAATATTAAGCACATAAAAGCTCCGTTTAAAACATATTGAAAACTGGGATATTGAAGCTTTTAAAAAAGCTTTTTAAAATCATTTTAATATTAAGCACATTAAAGCCCTTTTTGAAATATGCTGAAAACTGGGATATTTAATTTTTAAAAAAGCTTTTTTAATCATTCTAATAATAAGCACTTTATAGCGCCCTTATACAAGTTTCCAAAAAAGAAAAAAAACTTTTTAAAACCAATCTAAAGCTATCGACT